CACGAACCCAGAAAACCACGTCAAGGGGGCCCCCGTGACGTTGTGTGCTCTATGAGCCAACATGTACTGCCGTCCCGCAGAAGTGCCTTAATCGAGCCCCTAAGAACTGAATTCTTAGGCTCCACGTGCTCCCGTGCTTACCTTGGCACCATAAATAAGGCTTCCAAAACCCAGTGGTTTCTGGGCGTCACCGTCGTAAGATCAAGCCCAAAAAGGCCAATCTGGTATGTCCTCAACTAACTAAGGGAGATTCTGCTCTCGGAACCCTGAGCCACAAGCTCTAAGTCTTCAGGCGTTGCATCCTTGAGTCGCAGCTGTACTCAAGGGGTCCATGCACCCGTACAATATCTGCGGCCCAAATCCTCAACCCTAAACCCTAAACCCTAAACCCTAAACCCTAAACCCTAAACCCTAAACCCTAAACCCATAATCCATGCTCAAGATCCTGTCTAGCAATCGCTGTCAGGGCAAGGGGAATGCTACACGGACCATTAGAAGTAATCTTGAAATCTCTCAAACAAGAACAATTGAAATCCGAGTAAGCGTATATAGTTAGAAGGGAAACCTGAAACCTAAACGCCCAGCGTGTAGACCAGCTGCTGTGATGCTGGCTTCAAGACACCGCAGAGTTCAAATCCCCGCAGCTTCAAAGCCCTCACGCCATAAACTCCCAAACCAGCCTAAACACCAAAACCCTGATTCCAACACCCTACAACGCCTGAAACTCATCGAAAACCCTAAACCCTATAAACGTTTGCAGTCTTTCAGGTTGGCCGAGCATCAGCACCGGGCACAATGGAGCCAAACCTCCCAAAGAGCCAACAGCCTTCCGTGCAACTTACTGCCAGTTTGGGGGTCCGGTAGGGTTTAGGGTTTAGGGTTTAGGGTTTAGGGTTTAGGGTTTCGGTTAAGCGCTAAACCCTAAACCCCTAAATGTTCAGTCAGGACTTCGGGTTAAGCGCTCAGGACTTAGGCCTGGATCTAGCTTCAAGATTCATTTGCCCCCCAGGGGTGTTGGATTTAGAAACTTTGGGCTCCGAATGCTTTTCTTGGGTTGACATTGACGGCTGATCTAAGTCTAGAGGCTGCAGCAAAACTTAACCCTTAACCCTAAACCTTTAACCCTAAACCCTAGGTCTAGGGACAGATCGTTTGTTGTAGCATGGGAAGCTGAACAAGCAACATAGGGGCTTGGTGCAGGGCTTTTTCGGGTGTAAGGCTTGATTTTGTCAGTAATGAGGGGAACTGCTCCGGCACGCATGCTATCCCAATACTTGCCCTAATCACCAAAACCTCAATCCCTACCATCCTTACGTATTACGCCTAAAGCCCTAAACCCTAAACTCGTTACTCGAAAACCCTCCGCAGTAAACCACTTACCCCAAACAACTAAGCCGACTTAAACCTCGTATAAAACCTGGCAGAACACTTTGAAACCTCGTTCAAATCTCCATTCTTGAACCCTAAGCCTGACCCCTCACATTCTTGTGTAAGCAATAGCTTAAAATACAGGGGCCTTAATAATTGGATTAGGGTTTGGGGCCCAGTATACTATAATTATACTAAGGAACCCCAAAGTAGTATTTGGTAGTTATTTAGGCCCCACCAGTATTTGGGTCGTGGATCTACTCCACCTGCTTCCCTGAACCCTAAAGCCAAAGCCCCACCCTAAACCCTAAACCCTAAACCCTAAACCCTAAACCCTAAACCCTAAACCCTAAACCCTAAACCCTCAGCGGACTCAAGTTCTGAGGCTTTTGGTCCCAAGGGCCCTATTATCTGAGGCATTTTTGGGCTATGTCAACCCTAAACCCTAAACCCTAAACCCTAAACCCTAAACCCTAAACCCTAAACCCTAAACCCTAAGTTGATGCTAAGGGTAAGAGTATACTGGTTCACCCAAAAGCCTGCAACTATGGAGACCCTAGGGGTTTAGGGTTTAGGGTTTAGGGTTTAGGGTTTAGGGTTTTGGGTTGGAAAGGGTCCCTGAAAACAAACCAGGGGGTTTAGGGTTTGGGGTTTAGGAATTAGGGCTCAGGGATAATGATTAGGGTCCTAGGTTCGAACTGTGGGGTCTGTAAAGCCTTCGGATTCTAAAAGGACTTAGATCCCTTCTTCCGCTGTCGTGGGGCGAGCGCTGTGCAGCCGGCGATCCAGCCAGGACCGAGGATGATCGAGTTCTGAACCACCTATAGAGGTTCCGTTAGGGGTTCCTCCGCATGCTTCTTGTGTGCAGGTTTGAAATTTGGGGTTAAGGTTCTAGTATAGTGGCCTTATGGCTCCTTTTAAGGGTCCCTTTATAGGTTGAGGGTGCCCAAGCTTTGTTGCTTGTTTTGCCGATACATGTCTGCAGTGGTTTGTTACACGAAGCATCTTTTGCGCAAACGAACGTTTGGGTATTTAAGTGCTGCTATATCATGTTTCACTAGCTGTCATAAGGGATGTGTATATGTATATACATATTGATAAAAAAACACACATACATACATATGTATAGCAGATATAGGCAGATAGGCCAATAGATGGATATGTAGGCAGTAGACAGACTTGTGGCATAGGACTGAAGGCTGTGAGCTTCAAGCCTTTAATTAGGGTGTTAGATAATCAGGGCTGTTGGCGATTAGACTTCTTCGGCCTCATGTACCGATTGCAGGGTTTGTGAATTTACTATTGAAGCGAGTTAACTGAGGGGTTCTGTAAGCAAATAAAAAATGTGTATGTATGTATATATATATATTATTTGTACATGTTGTGCTAGACCATACGGCGACACTCTACTATGCTACACTTCACTTTGTTATGTATCATTGCCATACAATACTCGGACCGATTGCTTGCAGAAAAACTACCTGTTGCAACCAGCTGACCCATAAAGCCATAACGCACAGCACTGGCTATACTCGCTGAAGCGAGGGCCGGATCTGTACCAAGCCCAAAACACCACGCCCGGAATCCTTACTTCAAGTCTCCAATGTAGTCCCGTCTTGTGATTTTACTACAGGCTCCCAGGCATTACAGTGCTTTACCAATGCAAGGAACTACTTTTCATGAAGACGTTTCTGAAGACTGTATGTAGGCCAAAAACACATGCTAAGGTACACTAAACCATAAATACCTAAACCCTAAACCCTAAACCCTAAACCCTAAACCCCATAAACCCCATAAGCCCTAAACCCTAAACCCCATAAATGCCACACTAAGCTTACACCCCGTCGACAGATTCCGGGCCTCACACAGCAGGCTGGCTCCCAAGGACGCTGCGAAGAGAGCCTTCGAGTCTCACCCGTTCACGGTGGTTTCGGTTTAGGGTTTAGGGTTTAGGGATTTAGGGGTTTAGGGTTTAGGGTTTAGTGTTTAGGGTTTAGGGTTTAGGGTTTAGGGGTTTGGATTTAAGTC